TTGGCCTATTTTACGATCATCATGGACGTAATTATCTCATATCACATGTCTCGTTATATCCTTCTGCCTCTTAGCAATGTTTTCTCGGCCCTCCTTACTCCTTTCCAATCAGTTTCTTCCATACTGTTATTGCTATTTCATGCATGTAGACAAGAAATACGCAATTTAGAGTGAAAGTGACGTCATTTTATTTCACAGGTACTTATTAGCCGCAGACTACCTGAAATTGAAATAGTTAAAAAAACATGAAAATAACATATGAAAAGGAGAAGACCTCCAGCAAAGACTCTTTTCGGCGAATTCATTCACAGAGGTGTACAATCGCATTTATATACATTTATTTTTTTGGTGTGTGTACATGAGGTTTGTCAAGTTCAGATAATTAATTAGGTAATACAAGAATGATCTAATACAGAAACAACTTTAATTAGACAGCAACTAAAGTGAGATTGCGTTAGGAAGTTAGGTGATGTAATATAATTGACTAAAATGTTTCCACTTAGGTCAGGATAGCAACAGAGGTAATTACAGGTAGAGACTAAGTGGAGGTGGGGTAGAGAACGGTGTCATTTAAATTGGGACTAAAATTGAGCAAATAAATTGGATGACGTAACATAAATGACTAGAAATCGAGCGTACGTTAAGTCAGTAACAGTAGTAATGAGGTTTAGAAATTAAATCGAGAGGGGGGTTGGAGAACAGGGAAGTTGAAAATGTAAAATATTACAAATGAAAAGACAAGATAATACTAGTAATGAAGAGACAGAAAGAAGTAGAATTTACCTAACAGGTATTAAGATAGGTTCCGTCTATTGCAAGTGTAGTGATTGAATGAACTTCTTCTGTAATCAGAGTTCAGGACTTAGCGAGTGAATTGCTATTGATTCTGCAGTTTGAAGAAGTTTGATTCGTACACTCTTGGGAAGACTGCTTTGTATTCTGTAGACAACTTTGAATTTTGTTTGGAGATTAGATTGGTGTTCGGAACCTGTCACTTGTTCTAAGATAGAGCTGCAGGGACATCATTTGTCTCCTTTGTAAAACCATGGTGGTAAGTGTTCGGTGATATGTTTGGAAAGTGAACTCGTGGTACGGCCGACGTACCTGGCTCCACACGAGCAAGTGAATTGGTAGATACACATTGATGAGGCCAGCAGTGATAGCTTATCCTTCACGTTCATACGAATCATAGGTTTCGTGGAAAAGGTTAATCGTAGTTCAGCTGTGAAGAAGGTTCACTAAAGTGAACGGGACACTCAATTTTTCAGTGTTTCCGCAGATGAATCTCCACTGAATTGAAGGTTCTTGTAGAGGAGTTTTTTTTCGAGGCGCTAAGCGTGGGCGGCTTTTGTGGTCTAGGATACATGGATTTTGCAATAAATCGTTCTGGATAACAATTCTTGACGAGGATTCCCCTGAGATTGTCCACTTTGTCTTCTATGGTATTCGGGGTGCAGATTCTGCGAACTCTGTAGCTGAGTGAACGGATCAGGTTTCGTTTGGTGTATAGAGATACCTAACTGTGAAAGTCAGTAAGCTATCGGTTCCACATCGACTTCCTGTAGATAGATCTTTTCAGTGTTCCGTCTTGTTCTCGCCTTGTTAGTTGAACGTCAAGAAGAGATATTTTGGAGTTACGCAATTTCTCTAACGTGAACTGAATTGGGGGGTGGCAGTTATTGTAGGAATCTAAGATGTAGTCTGGATTTTCTTCATTGTTGACAATAATGGAAGTGTCGTCGACGTATCTCTTGTAGAATTCGAAGGTATCGATCATTTTATTTAGGCATGTGTTTTCGAGTTTTGCCATGAAGAAATCCGCAAACAATAGGCCTAGTGGTGAGCCCATAGCTATACCATCCTTTTGGCGATATATTTTGTTGTTAAAAGAGAATTGAACATTCAGGGAACATCTCAGTAGGAGTTCTTTAAGACGCTCGGTGGGTATACCGATGTTTATTCCATTCTAGTGAATAAGCTCGCATATGTAGCATATTGTTTCAGTCAGTGGGACGTTTGTGAACAATGACGTGACATCTAATCAAATCATGGTCTTGTTGGATAAGTTGACGTTTTCGATCGAGTCGCTAAAGTCGAATGAATCTCGAATTGTGTAGCAAGAAACATATTTCTGTATTGGAGTGGTAGCAGGAGAAATGTCATAAACTGGGCCAGCCAAAATTTAAGCATTACAACTTTTATTTCATCTCATCATCATTTTCAAAGCAGATAACAATGCAGAGAAAACAGAAACAAAAGGGAAAATAATAAGGAGTCTTAGTTTTCAGGGATCCTTAACAGCCCAAGTAAGTTGTAGTCCATAAGGTTGCAATAAGCTCAGTCAGATGAAGTCAGTAATATGGATGATAATGCATTCAATGTAATGAAAATCGAAAGTCATTTTCCAAGTTAGTGAGAAATCAGTCATAATGCATATAACTCACACTCTAAAACTCATAATTTTTTTAATTAAAAATGCACTTAAAGGTCACTTATCTGTCTAATCCCATTTTATCCTATTTCCTTGATGACTGAACTTTTCCTGTATGCATTCAAAAAATGGTTGAAATCAACCAACTATTATTCCACCTTGTACTTATGTGGCGCGTGCTATTGACATGAGTTTACAGGTAGTATGTTTTGTGTGTGACAGATTCTTGAATAACGGAGAAGTGGATTAAATTGCGAAGAGGTGAAGTAAAAGATCCTTATGAAACAGTAAAAAAGGGCATGAAAAGAAGACAAAAGACACAAAAAACGAAGAACACTTGAAAATGGAAATTTCAGGGTAAGTATTCTGCATCTTGCCATGACTGTATATCATATACTAAATAAATAATTCTTCGACCAAATACTACCATATTCTCCTGTTACACTTTCACGTTCCCCAACGGAACATAGGGCTTCAAGCTAGTGGCTTGAAGTGTCTGTAGCAGTGTTTAGTTTTACAGGATGGGGTTGCTAACCTCATGTCCAACCTTTCCTCTTCACCATCATTATTTCTGGCTTAGCGAGGTAAAGGAGTGCGTTGGCCGGGGATCGTACCCCGAACCATGTGCATGGTCGACGAGCGTCCTAACAGCTATGCCACCAACGCTTGTACCGACACTTGTACCTGAATTCATTTTCTGATACAGCTGAGATTTGCTTTTAATGGCTATGGTATTCTAACATTCAGGAGTTTGTTTGCAGGGATTTTGTTAAATTAGAGTTTGACCGCAGATTGATATCAGTTGGAGAACCACAGAAAACTAGCAAGTAGTGGACAGCCCTTTCGACCTATTTTGGGACTTATGGGCAGTACGCACCCACCAGCGGGGTTCAAACCCAGGAGCTAACAACACTGATGAAATTATAACCATACAGCCTGAAGAAGTTATTCAAAAACAGTCTTTCGCTTCTCCTGAATATATTGTAGGGGTATTTAAATCCACTGAAATAGTTTTTCATTTGAGTATACATCTGCTGATATAACAGGAAATATCTCTATTAGAACTTCTACACTTGTGATTGAGATATAAGGATGAATAATTAATATTTAGACTAAGATCTTTTTTAAAAAGGAGATTTGTGTAAATTTCGGTGTAGATTTCATCACGAACCAACACTAGTTGGAGATCATTGAAAACTGGGGAACACTCACCAGCTGTTTCATTCTATCCTCTTAGCTATAAAATAATCATCGTTATTTTGAGGTTTCTTTCATGAGATCGCTGGAAGTTCTTCCAAGAAAATGAGTATTCTTCATACCTAACATAGAAATGAAACCTGAATACTGTTTTCGAATATAATACGCATAATACGGTAATTTTGCTTGGTATGTCACAATAATGTGGCATCACTTACTAGCTGGTAATGTTGCGTACACAGTGTTCTACTCATGGCTTGGAAAGTCATGTGTAAATAAATAATATTGTATCACTGTGGGAGGAATGAAACATACCTTTGAGATTATGGAATTTCGCACACTTGTTAAACAGGTGAAGTTACGCAATAACAGCCTCCGAATGACTTCGGACAACCAGTCGAACTTAAAGAAGATAGAAACTGGTAAATTTGATGAGGAATTGTAAATTCAACTGTACAGACCGCTTAATTTATATGAGATGATTCTCCTTTAACTTAAACTAACCTTAACTCTAAACCCAACGAAATTGGACAAATAGATTAGTAGCGAACCGTGAATACAAAACATGCACAGCATTCATAGTAACAACGTGAATGCTTACCTCAGGGTTATTCTGAAGGTTTTCTGTGGTGACAGCTATTCTGTACCTTGGCTGTTAAACAACACTGATCTCTGAATCTGATAGAAGTATGTGAATTGCCTTGCTTTCCCTAGACATAATTTCTAATAATAATAATAACTGTTTCTACCGTCCAGTCTAATCCCAATGCCGTTTTCGCTTCCAGACAGGTCAGTGCCTTCAAATAAATACTGACTTCTAAAGAGTAACTACCCATCAAGTAATCAGGTTCCAACAGATTGAAAATCTGATGTACCCATGTGATTAATAGCCTTCACAGATGTATAAATTTCCTCTCTACGGTTACGACAAAAGGATTTTATAGGTTTTTCTAAAGTTTAAGTAATCTTATCACCCTAAAGTAGCGGAACGATAAAGAAGAGTTACATCAGAATAGTGTGTAAGAGTCAATTTTTAATTTTTATTCATCTTCTGCTGTAAATGATTAGATCAGACATACACTAGACTTGAAATACATGAACTGTCTGTTATGCGTATACAAGAGACATCAGAAATCATAAATCTTGACAAGAATAAAACAAAACACTGAACTGACACCTTTTCAACCAGATTTTTATATTATGAAAAATATACATTAAAACACACTGTACAATAGTCGATTAGATAACATTTATCATCGTTTACAATCCAATCCAATCACTTCACAGGTTCTGTTCCAAAGCCATTTACTCTCTTCACTGTTTCTAAGAAGATTAGGCAGTTCTTTTAACTGACAATTTTTATAATACCCACCAGATACTAAATTGTCTGTAAGCACTGTGTACAATACTGTTTGTGCCATCTCCCATTGACTGGGAAATATTGGAGTGATTAGAAAATTAGCGATTTTCTGTTTCAAAAGAAATTAAGGCATAAACTGTTTTATTATTTATCATTCAAAAAAAAGTTAAAAGTTTTCCAATGGTTCTCTAACCGATGTCAGCTGATGATGAAATCCTGTAACCAATCAATCAAATCCCTACAAACCAATACTTTAATTACATAAAGTATGTTCGGTAAATGAAGTAATTCTATTGCTAAAGCAATCACAAATTCAAAATCTTTGAATATTTTCATTGCCTAACTGAAAAATATCCTTTTCAATAGGTTTGTTTCATAATCTGTGGTTTGAAATTCAAATTTATTATCTTAGTCAGTGGTCAAGTAATATGATAAAGACATTTCCAAATGCAATATGAGTGTACAAAAAAAATTAAATTATATTAAACCGGTTTAAGTTTGTAAACGAAATGATAATTTATACTTGCGTGTAAAATGCGGTTAAAATAAGTATTAAACATTTGGTGCTTATTCGTAATCAGCTGATATACGTTGGTGCAAGGGTAATGGGTGATACATTCCAAGGTTTCTACAGTCATTTATTAAGTGGCTAGTCTGAAAACGGTTTGCGTTAAAGTAGTGATAGTAAGGATGAAACGAATAGTTCATTAAAAAGAAATCGATAGGCGCCTTGGTTGACATGATGACATACAAATGGTGACAATACACTATAAGTAAGCTAAAGTATTTTTTAATTTTAGTGTAAATACGTTAGAAATGAATATTGGGTAGGTAACTAGAGAGACAGGTAGAAAGGAAGAGAGAGACAGAGAGAGCGGAGAAAACTCATAAAGCCCTACAATGAGAAAAGAGTGATCAGTTTCAACTGAATAAAAATGCCAATTAAATTTTTTTCAAAAGAATGGTTACTGAACAAAGAATACTCTTTTCGATAACTTCATCATCAGTTATATACAATTATATATACATTATAGTGAATGAATGAATTAGTGTTATTAACGACAATAATGTTGTTTAAATAACATCGAATCAATAATATTGATAGATTACAGTTCAATAGCATCAACATAACAACAAACTGAATGTCAGAAAAATTAGGAAAGATAGTAATAAAATTTTGTGAATTTATGGTCTCTACTGAAGACCAAGGCAGTAGTAATGGCTGAACTTGCTTCTTTTGCACACAAAGCGCTGGTTGTTTCGCGCGAATCGCGGTAGCCTTTGCTGTTTGGAGTATGCGGCACCTCGATGTTTTTGGCAATTTATTTGGTACCCGGGAGATGAAAGAGAAGCATTCTTCAACGGTGGCTTTGTGGCCGGTTTGGAACAGGTGGTCTAATATCGATGATGAGGAAGTTATCGTAGAGAATATTCTTTGTTCAGTCACTAGTTTATCAAGGGCTAGAGGAGGAATAACACCTCAATGCTTTTTTCTTTCGGAAACAGAGCTTTCGCTTAGTCGATCTTATTACCTTACCGTCAGTCATTTGAAGAAGGCACAAACCGACTGCGCATGCTAGTATTATTCATTGATGATTTTTCATAGCAAAATCCATATTCGAGCCTAGGTGGTGCTTTATGTCTACTGAGTATCCCTAAATAAAATTTCGACTGACCCAGCTTCATCCATTCCAAACAGACGGGCGTATGTCTTTGACTTTGAAAATACCACTGTCTAATCGCAAACTCGATGTTATCTGATCTGCAGAAATAAATAGACTGAACATGTATGACACTAAAGTGTAATTAGGGGAAGTTTATTTCAGTCTCAGTTTTAGCATTAGACAAGTATTACCATTTAAACACAAATATCTTTTTTGTGTGTTAGAGTTTCACAAGTTGTGTCTCCATCGTAATGTGAATGCGAACTAGTGGATTTTCTGTTCATTGTCATTAGTGTATATTTATAATTATAATGAACTATATTAACTTCTATAAACTTTTTAAGATACCTGGTTTAACTTAAAATATCTCGGTGTTAACTAGATGTTCAAGTATTGGTTTGTAGGGATTTGATAGATTGGTTACAGGATTTCATCATCAGCTTACTGTGGGAGTACTGGACAGCCAGCTGTTTCGTCCTAGTTCGAGACTCCACCTCATCAGTACTCACCCACACTGTCGGGTTCGAACTCAGGACCTTCTGGTTACAAGACGAGCTGGCTCGTAGACCATTCAGACACTGGGACTTGATCCAAAGTCCAGTCCAAGAATTCCAACTTCTGCCAACTCACGACATGGTGTGACCACTAGTCAATGTCTTCGGCGAGTATTTTTCCTCACACCCGACCTGCTTCACCCTACTGATCACGACTTCCCGCTAGAAGCCCAAGTAACTACCTACCTGAATATGGTCAGTCTCTAGTGAGCATCTCATTGATATTCAATTATTGGTTGTCGTCAATAACTTATGTCTGAAACACTTTTGTTTACTTCACACACTACTGATTGAAATGAGTAGCTTATCTCCTTATTTATTTTGTTCCTTAAAGTTCTGAAAGGAACACAGGGCTTCAAGTTAGAGCTTTACAGTTTCGGTAGCAGTGATGTTTATTTTTACGGGGTGACGTTGCTAGCCTCATGTCAAACCTTCCCTCTTTACTCGCCTTACTGCCGGCTTAGCGAGGTGAAGGAGTGCATCCGCTGGGTATTGGACCTCGGATGACGTGGGTGGTTGGTGAGCCTTCTACCACTGAGCCACCAAAATGAGTAGTTAGAAACCACTTATGTCAAACATTTGTGCACTCTAACTGGATCAAATTAATCTGAATACTGTATGACTGCTTTGCTTATTCAGAATTCAGTGATCAACAACGTATGCGGAAACACGCAGACTAGGAAGTCAAAAAACAAGTTCAAGCCACCTTGATTCTGGCAAGCTACTTGGGTGAAATGGTAATACCTGGAATTCGGGTGGTTCAAAATGACGTGAGTAGTTATCACTTACTGATACCTATCAGCAGTACATACCAAACGCAGCGTTAAATGATTTTATGCTTGAGGACCTGACAATTTCAGATTTAAAAGTGAAACGATTGGTTATTAGGCAGTAAACATTGTTACTTTGCCTAACCCTCACTGTTACGGGACTTCGAATTGCATTTCTCTGACGTCATGACTGCTTTGCATAACTTAATGACTGATGTTGTTGAATGCTAGAAAACGTTTACTGAAAAATACTCACTATAGCCGAAAGACATTACAAATCGATTAGCCATCTCTTACAACAGCTACTGTTTCGAGCGTCTCTTAAATAAGTTTCAAGATGACTTATAGTTATCTAATATAATAACTGAAACTGAACAATAAGGTCCAGTTTTCGAGTAAACAGATCAATTATCTGTGTTTAATTCTTCAAGGCGTTCTCCACCTTATCATCAAGATTTGTTGGTGAGGAACATGCTTGTATTTGTTATGCTGCCACTAATTCAAGCAAAGTCAAATAGGAAATATGATAGACTGTAAACTTTCAGAAAACCTTTAGGTCTATACTCGAAGAAATGACTTCAAGTGAGACAAATATGAAGCATTATTCCTTCATCTTCATATTCAAGTTTTGAATTACTAATCATCAATATATACTTATTAATTTGAAAATTCCCATTCAGTCATAGAAAAGAAAAGGCATTCAGCATACTTATTATTCACAATAACTCACATTTATGAAGGATTTAAAGCGTTTACTGTTTCCGCCTTTAAAAAAATCCAGCATATGCGCTAACCACCATAATATCTGTGTGTTTAAGATATTCACTCAATTCAAGCGTATACATTATGTTTGCCAATTGGGAATGATAATAAGCATCTACTGGGCTGTAATTTGATTGATTCATTTGTAAATTTGGCCTACTCACATGATTGTGTTGATGATTTCTAAAGCATACATTAATTATTCTTGACGATGTACCTTTCAATAATAAAGGTAGCAGTAATTGTGTCAGCAGGAATGAGGAGAAATAATTTACACCCATTGTCATTTCAAAGCCATCATTAGTTGTTGTATACTTCTTTACACTTTTTATATTTGCATTGTTAATGAGAAAATCTAATTTATTATGTGTTTCTATTATTCGTTTTACAAATTCTCTGATAGACATCAACGAAGTGAAATTGATTACTTCAATCACCAGCTAAATGTTAAATAAGATGAGAAATAAACAAAACAAAAAAAGTAAAAAGAAACTAATCTTCATGACTAAGTATATGAACACCACGAGATTTATGCTTTAAAAGTGGTTACTAAAATTATCTGTCACATTGCCGCAAACAAATAAGAGAAATAAATCAATTCTACAACTCTTTCTTAGAAAATTCAAAAGGAAGGTAATTCTTACACATTATGTTTAAAATATTCGAAAGTAGAGATTCGAAACAGTTTGTCTCCTTAGTAAAAATCTAGATCAAGAGCGAAATCGAACTTTCGAAATATTCGGCATGTTGGCCAACGATAAGGCATTTCAACTTAAATTTCATTAACACTCTGGGTCAGTCAGAAAATCAATAAAGATAAGAACTACTGAAGAGCTGCTCAGTGAAAGTCTAAGATTCTTCAATAACGTGCACGCATGAACAAGACATGAATCAGGAGAAAATAGTCACTTTAAGAACACTATATTCCCTGCTGCCATAGGGTTGATATTCAACAGTCCATGAATATCTTGTTTGCTGACAAATGTTGACTCATCGCGAAAATATCTTCATATCAGTCGAATTTCAAAGAATACAGCAATTAAAAATGCATTACCCATTCTTTTCTAACCTGGTGGATATGATTTACTCAAAATTGACTCTTAAAAATTTAAAAAGACTTGCTAATGAAAAAAGAATATTCTTTGCTATCTACTTATTATTAGCTTCTACAATTATGTATATTATAGCAATAAGTAAAGAAACATTCTTAACAACAACAAAATTAGTGCTTTGAATCACATCACATCAACAGCATCGACACATCCCATTGAAGAAGCATCAGTAAGGGAGAGGGAGATAATGACCATTAATAAAACACTAAGTTGAACATCAGATAAATTAAGGAAGGTAATACAGAACTTATGCATTTAGAAGCCCGAGAGAAGGCCAGGACAGTAGTAGTACTAGTAGTAGTAGTAGTAGTACTAGTAGTAGTAGTAGTAGGACCTGTTTCCTCTTCTACACACACAGCTCCAGTTCATGTGAGCGAATTGCAACGGCCTCTGTCTATTTGGAGTGTTTGGTGTCTAGAAGCCTTTGGTAGTTTATTCGATAACCAGTAGATGAAAGCGGAAGATTCTTCAATGTTAAATATGGGGCCTGTTGTGGTTTAGGTGGTTCAATATATAACTGTTGATGTTTTTAACAACACCTTTGTTTAACCATACTAGTAGGCGTTTTCGAGTAGGAAATTTAGCTTCCTAGAGCAACTGCCAACCATTTATATTATTAACTACATGAGAACGTTGGTAATAGTGTATTATAAATAGACACATGCTTCTTTTTAATTTTTTCTCAGTCGTTAGGATTATCAATCAGTCATGATGCGTAGATAACTTTTGTAAAAAAGAAAGTGATAGCATTTGTACAACTCATAATAGTAGCTTAAACACAAACCACACACTTCCTTGAAGACTTAAAAATAAATATTGCAAATTATCACACATATCACGTAAATTAATGCTGACAAACGAATGTATGATCTAATAGTTCAGTATTCCCCTATCTGAAGACCATTTCTTGGCTGTAATCTCATTTGTAACTACTGAAAAAGATAGACAGACACTCAAAGGATACAATGCTTATCTATTAATCTGTTTTTGACTTTCACCTTTGAGAAAAGTGTACTGATTCGAAAATTTAAATTATATGTGTGAAAGTGTTGAACTGTTTAATTGTGATAATTTAATTTTCCAGTCGTTGAATTAATTTCATGTCATGTTTTAATCAAAGTATTTGATAAACAAATTCTAGAAAATTATCTGTAGTAAAATTTGTTATTTTTTGTATAATTTCCTTAACAGTCTAAGTCATTCATTGGCTGTTTATTCGTGTCTTGTCTAGCATAATCACTGGTTAAAATAGCACATGCATTTTCAATGTTTTTGTGGCGAACAGTTATTTTAACCAATAGAAAAGACTGAAATGCTTAAGGGAAATAATCAGTTTATACAAAGTGAAGGAAAATAACCTATAACTATTTGAATTATGAGTGAAAGAAACTGTTGGATTTTGGACGAAATTGTGCTGTATTCCAAAAAGATTAGACGGAAAAATTGGAATAGTTACAGGATGTTATATTGGTGCTGGTTTAGGTATAGTTGGAGAAGTGGCAAGACGCGGAGCAGCAGTGATTATGGCTAGTCAAGATGTGGATAAGGCTGAATCAGTTAAAATTCATTTAATTGAGAAATATGGTGTCAAAAATCCTGATCACTTGAAAACTGATATATCGTGTAAAGAAATAATCCCTTGTCTTACGCCTATTGAAGCACATCAGGTATGTGAAACTGTATAGAATTTTAGTTTATGAATAATATCTGATCGTAGAAATAGACCTCTAGAGACAAATCATTGTGATTACTTATATTGCATAGAACGAATTGCTTTATCCACTTGTCCATTAGGTTATAACTTATTATTCAAACAACTGGCAATATTATGCTAAACCCTTTTTCTATGCTATACCAAATTCCACTTCGAAACGCTGACAACACTGAACACTGTGTTCATAAAATCTGGCCAACACATTAGAAGTGCAACAAATAAGCAAGAAGAAATGGAGGTGGATTAGCCATACTCTGAGGAAACCATCAAGTGACATCACTAGACAAGCCATTGCTCGAGTGGAACCCAAAAGGGAAGCGGCGAGTTGGTCGTCCAAGTGTGACTTGGACGAGGTTATGTGAAGAGGAGATGAAAGCATGTGGGCAGACTTGGAGTCAGGTGAAAACTTTAGCAGAGAACCGAACGCAATGGAGACGTGTGGCTGAAGCCCTATGTTCCTCTAGGAATTAGAAGAAGTAATAATAATAACAACACATTAGAAAACAAAAACTAATTATCATAAGTAGGTAACTAAGGCCTACAGCGTATAAGCTGTAACTACTGGCATAATTTACAATAACAAAGCGTTTCAAGGTAGATTTTATGACAGACTAATGTCAGTTAGATAACCACTAAAGACTACACAGCAGTAGATAACTCTTTTGTCACAGATTGGAACTCTTTAACAATTTGTATATATATAATCCAATAATGGATTAGGAGAAAAATTATTCATTTTTCGATCTAAGCACATTGTTGTTCACCCAGTGGGTTGGAATTCAACTGCCTGCGAATTTAACATGCATGCTCCCAGATGCTAAATGGTTGCTTACCGAATTTCCGTTTGTTGCAAAATATGCCTTTAAATCAGTCAATAAAATCGCAATAAACCCAGTATTTTGGAATAACAAGTGTAAAAAGATATAAAGATATAAAATAATAGAACGAATTAATAACCGATGATGTTTTAAAAAGAATATTCTTTGCCACAAATTCGTCATCAGCTTCTACATTCATATGACAGTACTAATTAAAGAAATAATTTTACTAACAGCATTAATGTTTTAAATTACATTCAACCTCCTCTGAGGAATCTTATCAGAAAATTCCCATTTTATTGCCGGTATATGGATGAAACCCCCATTCCCTATGAAAATGATTTGGATAGGAATTAAGTAATACCTCAATTCACAGAAGTATATTGAGCTATCATATTTACATGTGAGGAAGAATCTTAGCCTTCTTAGACATCCTGCTGACAGGAAGACCGAGCGGTAGCATAAAAAGGAATTTACATAAGAAAAGTACTTCGATTGGTCAATATACAGATTTTCAAAGCTTTGTTCCTACTCTCTCGTAAAAACGTAAACAGACCCAGCTACAGGGTCAGAGCCATTTCTTTAGAAGTTGAGACTGACGACGAACTTAAAGTTGTATACGACAGGTTAACTGGAAGCAGATACTCTGAGAAGTTCGTCATGAAACATATAACCAGGAAAGTAGAAAAGAATTCTCCGTTATCTGTTAACAGGAAGTATATATATATAAACAATTCAGAGGAGATATACCAGGTTAAATAATAGCCTACAAGCTGAGAAAATCAATCCAAAGAACGTTCAATGCCGGAGGGCTGCAGCTAATATTTTCCACATAACAGTCTACAATTCCGGAAGTGAAAGACCAAGTACCTAGGCTGGCCACCTTTGATTATATTTATCAGTCAGTTGCCCCTGTGGAACCTAATTTTTCCTACTCGGGAACACCTAACAGTACAGTTAAATAAAGGCGCTAATAAAACCATCAACAGTTCTATGTTGAACCACCTAAACCACAACAGGCCCCATATTTAACATTGAAGAATCTTCCGCTTTCATCTACTGGTTATCGAATAAACTACCAAAGGCTTCTAGACACCAAACACTCCAAATAGACAGAGGCCGTTGCAATTCGCTCACATGAACTGGAGCTGTGTGTGTAGAAGAGGAAACAGGTCCTACTACTACTACTACTAGTACTACTACTACTACTACTAGTACTACTACTGTCCTGGCCTTCTCTCGGGCTTCTAAATGCATAAGTTCTGTATTACCTTCCTTAATTTATCTGATGTTCAACTTAGTGTTTTATTAATGGTCATTATCTCCCTCTCCCTTACTGATGCTTCTTCAATGGGATGTGTCGATGCTGTTGATGTGATGTGATTCAAAGCACTAATTTTGTTGTTGTTAAGAATGTTTCTTTACTTATTGCTATAATATACATAATTGTAGAAGCTATTAATAAGTAGATGGCAAAGAATATTCTTTCTTAATTAATCAGTCTTATTATTGTAGAGAAATAAGTCTGCTGTGGAATTTGCTTATTAATCATGGGAACAACGGAAACACAATTGCACGGAAGCAAATGTTGTCTTTTCGATGTCATCAACTAGACTGTATATTATTGAATATAGAACAAAGGGGTGGGAAAGTTGCGGAACTATTTCTGGTCAGAAGTCAAAATGTGATGAATAGGTAGGCGACGTTACATAATGCGATTGGGGAATAAATTAAGAAGATAAACAGAAAGTCTGGTTGATAAC